TCCCCATGCCACGGAGAATGTCCCGCAATCTGAATATTTTCCCATCTAAACTCTCGCTCTGACCTCTGGAATCCAGATCCTTCTACAGACCAAGTGCCTCAACTTTGATCCATAAAAAATACATCTGTATACTAAGTGGCCTTCACTGAGCTCCTGCTACAGGCCAGGTACAGAGCCCGGGACCATCTCAGTTGGCTCTCGCTGTACGCTGTGGGCTGGGGACCACGTGCCCCATCTTTCGGAGGGAGAATTAGGCCTGGAGAGATGAAGTGACTTGTCTAAAGTCACGGCGTGGACAGTCAACCTGGCAGGGGCTGTGTGGTCAGGCGTCTAAACGGTGTCACTTTACAGGTGGGCAGACTGAGGCCCAGAGAGGGGATGGGCTTTGCTCAGGACACAAGAGCTCAGGCCATCTCTGGCAAAGCGCTGGGGCCTTGGTTCCCGAGCAGGCCGTGACCTGGCCAGGTCCGTGGTCTGGGCCGAGTGACAGCCGGGACTGCCTGTTGGCCCGGGGGTGGTGGTGTGGAGGGCTTGGAGGCACCAGGCCTCGGGCCGTCTCTGCTTTCCTCGGGGCCAGCCACAGGCAAAGCTTGGCCTCAGGCCGACTCTTTCCGGAAGTTCAGTCAGAGAAGCCCTGACTCACCTACGCTTCTGACGGCCGGGGCCACCAGGAGCCCCTCGGCGTCAGGGAGGTGGGGGGACAGGAGGTCGGGAGAAGGTAGGGACCGGAGAGGGAGGAAGAGAGACAGACAGAGACGAGAACAGGAGCCAGAGATGCAGAGAGACGAGAAACAGATAGAAGGAGAGAAAACCCAAGACAGGGAGAGATAATAGAGAGACAAATAGAGAACAAGAGAAAGCACGGCCAGGGAGAAGGAAAAGCAACAAGAGTGAGGGAGGGAGACAGCTCGGGCCGGAGCGTGGCAGGGACCAGGCCTCCGTCCTCTGGCTTCAGTCACGCTCACTGGGGAGCGAACCTGGCTCAGCTCTGGACAGCAGGCTAGGAGCCCCGCCCAGCAGTCCTGACACCCTCCACCTTTCCGCTGACCCCACGCTGAGAGTCCGTGTGTCCCCCAGGGCAAGGGGCATCCATAGTTAGCCAGGGTGGGTGGACAGCGGGCTCGAGTGACCCCTCAGGATCCATCCACCCCGGGAGCCCAGGGCACCTGAGAAGTGGCGCACACATAGCCAGGTTTCAGGTGGCGCCTGCTGGGAAGCTGGACTACCTGCCTCACCCCAAGGCTTGCCCACGAGGCTGGGGGAGGCCTGCCAAGCCCAGCAGGCCCGTTGCAAAGCCTGGCACCTGGGACAGGGCCGGCTGCTGCTGCAAAACCCAAACCCGGAGTGGAGTGGGCTGTGGGCCCCTCTGTGGCTCCCGGACCTGGAGGACCAGGCCCCAGCTCCTCGGCCAGACACTCGGGGCCCCCAGGATTGGCCCTCGCCCTTCCCTCCACCCGACACTGCCCTGAACGGGCCACTCACAGCTCCCCACAGACAGCAGGCCCGCGCTCTCCACCACCACCAGCATGCATGCTGCTCTGCTGACACGGGACCCGGCTCTCCCTCCTGCACGTCACCCTTGCTGGCTCACTTCCACGGTGAAGATTAAGAACACAGAACCTAGAACACCCGCCCACTGAGTGTTCTGGTTCTGCCCTGACACTCACCGGCTGTGTGACCGTGGGCAGGTCACCCTTTGCTAAGCCTCAGGAGACACTGTAACACGGATGGGGCGCTCAGGACGCGCCAGGCACTTCAGGGAAAGCAAACGGATGCTGGCCCTGGACCTGCCCCTCGGGTAGGGGCAGAAGCAGGCCTAACCAGGCAGGACAGGCATTAGGAAGAGCACAGATGGGGGGTGGGCTATGAGGATGCTCTGGGGGTCTCGAAACGGAGTTAACAGCAGGGTGCCCCTCGGACAATCGTGGTGAAGATGAAATGAGAGCACGTGAGGAAAATGCCCAGCACAGCCAGTGCTCCATAAATGTCAACTCTGTTAGCTGCCTTATTATTCCCACCAGCCGTCACAGTGCCAACCCATCTCTGGCCCCAGGAATCTCAAGAATTCAGTCCTGGAACCTAGCAACTTCTACTCTCCCCTCGCTCACTCTGCCCACAGGCCTCCTTGGTGTTCCACAAATACTCAGGGCCTTTGCACCTGCTGTGTCTCTGTCTGGACAAATCTTTCCTCCATTATTTTCGTGTCTCCCTCCCTTCAGGTCTCTTCAAATGTCACCTGCTTGGTGAGGCCTTAATTGCCCCCTCTCTAAAATGTCACCACCCCCAATATTTCACTTCCCCCTTTCTGCTAGATATTTGTTCCAAAGTGCCTGCCACCATTTGGCAAGTGAGATATTTCCCTTACTGACTGAGTTTACTGAAATGCCAGCTCCTTTTTCCTGTCTTGTTCACCCCAGGGCCTACAGCAGGGACTGGGACAAAGGTGCTCAATATGTATTGAGCCTGGTCCCTCATTTTATAGGTCAGGCCCAGAGAGGTCAAGGTACTTCCCCAAGGCCACACAGGGCAGGGACAGGGGCAAGCAGAGGGGGGCCTAGGGAATTTGGAGAAACCAGTCTGGCCAGTCTCTCCTTCCTCCACTCCCGGCCCCCACAACTCAAGGTCAGGAGGAGATAAGACTGCAGGTTTGGGGCATGAGAAAGCTGTCTGCAGATCCCCTCATGGCTGTACGTCAGAGAGTGAGGGACACCTGGGGAAACTAGAAGCGGACAAAGACGGAGTCTCCGTGGAACGGGGAGGTGGCGGTCCCCGGGGAGGCTCGGAATGCCCGGGTATGATCTGGTTGAAAGCTGGTAGGGTTTAAACTTGAATGGGCAGAGCTGGACACCAAAGGAGAAATCTGTGAATCCTCACCCTCGCTTCCCAGGTGATGAGTCTGAGGACCAGAGAGGTGAGGCAGCTGACTCCAAGACTCACAGGAAAGGTCAGCCTACCATGTTAACGATAGGGAGCGCCTACTGTATGCAGGCAAGGCACCAAAGCACATGATCTGACTTCCTCTTCCCAGCGACACTCAGGAGCAGACAAACTTTGCCTTGTCCCCATTTAGAGGTGAGGAAACTGAGGCTCAGAGAGGGAAAGTCGCCTGGCCCAGGTCACAGAGCTAAGAAGCGGAGTCAGGATGCCAAGCCCAGCCTGCCCCAGGGAGCACAGGAGGTTTTATGTTCACAGGCTGGATGTTTTAGGAACAGGGTGAAGAAACCATGGCAGCATGGGCCAGGTACCAAGTCAGGTTTGAAAAAAAATCACACCCACAGCATGGACTTGCAAGTCCCGAAAGGCCTCTGGGGATCTAGGACTCAGCGAGAAAGCAAATGGCCCAAGGTCACGCAGCCAGTTATGGCTGAGATGGTATGCAAACCCAGGCAGGTCAGGGCAGAAAGCCAAAGGTGGCGGTGGACCCATGCCCACCCCAGGGTGGGGCTGTGCACCGTGGCTGTTCCCTGGCGAGAGGAAAGACGTCAAGAATGTTTGACAGAGCTCAGCGTGATGGTGACATCCAGGCAGAGGGGCCTTCCACAGCTCCCAGTCATCTGACTATGGAGTTCTCACAGGCACTTCCTTAACCCCTGGGGACATTTGGCTCTCCTGGGGCTGGGCAATGAAGTTCCCGAGGCTCACGTGGAAGTCAGAGAGGGGGTGAGGCTGGTTCGAGGGAGCATAAACGGTAGGCACAGCGGAAGGAAGCCGGCGATCTTGGCCTGAGGGCCGAACCGGAGCAGGTGTCTCTAAACAGCGGTCTGGTCCGGGGAATATGGGGGCTCCACCCCAAAGTCCCCGTGGAGGTGGCCAATATATGCACGTGGGGGAGGGGCATGGGCTGGGGTTGCGGCTTGTGTATGGGAGGAGCTGAAACCGGAGGATTTGCCGTGCCCTCTCCACCTGGGACTCCTGAGTACAGCGTGCGGGCGATGCTCCTCACTGCGGAGGGGGAGGAGCCAGGAGGACGGGAGGGAGGGCATGGTGGTCTGCAGCCGCTGAAGCTATAGCTAGGACGGGGCTCTAGGGGAGGGGCGTCTGGGGCACTCGGTAGCTGGGGGCTCCCGATTTGGGGTTCCCAGAGCAGGGGGATGACACGCCCAAATTTAGAGGGTGAGGTCACTGTTTGCGGCACAGGGTCCTGGCTGGGGGCACAGATGGGGCCCTAGGGTGTGAATTTCGGATCTGGGGAACCTGAGACAGGGTGTGATTTTTAACCGGCTGGGGACAGTGCATGTTGCCGAGGGGCTGCCTCCGGCTTGGACCAGGTCCTGGGGTGGGGCTCCCTCGGTCTAGGAGCAGTCTTTGCAGGCGCGGGTGCCCCGGGGCTAGGATCCGGATCTGGGGGTGCGATGGGAGCTCTGTGTGTGGCCCAGGGACCTGATATGGCAGTTCCTTGATGTGGGGAGTGTCTTTGCATCCAGAAAGCCCCGGGGCTGGGGTTCTGGCTTGGTCTTGGAAGGGGTTCTGGGGTGGACTTGGGGGTGCTATTTGCAAGTTAGAAGCCGAGGCTGGAGTTCTGCGGGGCCTGAGGCTGGGGCTCCGATCTGCGGGACCCGGGGTCGCTGTCTGCAATCTGGGCTGGTGACGGCAGGCCCGCAGGGGGGCCCGGAGGGGGCCCGGAGGTCCTACCTGGCGAGTAGAGCGCGGCTAGCTCGCGGGCCCCGGCATGCTGCGCGCCCCAGCGCCGGCCATACGCCGCCTCGTCCTCGTCGAGCTCCGGCTGCTGGCCCGGCCCATCCTCGGCGCCCGCCATGGCCCCTCGCCCGGCCCGCCTGGCACGCTCCGCTAGCGCTGCTGGCGGCGGCGGCGGCAGGGCCGCGGAATCGCGGCGAGATCACGCCGCCCAATGACTGCCCAGCGCCGGGCGCGGCGGCGGCGCCGGCAGCCGCCTCGCCCGGCCGCGCGTCACAGCCAATCGGGGCCCGCGCCGGGGCCGCGCCGGCCAATCAGCGGCCGCCGAGCCGCAGCCAACCGCGGCGCGCGGGGGGCAGGGCCACAGCTGGGCGCAGCTGGGCGCGGAAGCGCATCTCCGCGGGCTGCCCTGCGCCCCCGGGCCGGCCCGGCCCGGTCCGCCTCCCCGACACGCGCGGGCCGGCACCGCCCACCATGGGCTCGGCCGCTGGGCCTGCGCAGTGGGCCGGAGTTGTGCGCCGCCGCGCCCAGAAACGGGCCTGTTTTCAGCCCGCACCGCCAAGCGCCTACTGTGTGCAAGGAGCGCGAGCGGAGGGCGCGGGGACGGGGCCAGGGAGCCCTCGCTTGGAGGACTCTTTGAATAGTGCTCCCTAGCTGGGGCCGGTTTGCGCTGGGCTGCCTTATGGAGCCTCACCACCTGCAGAGATGACGAGGACCGTGCGTACACCTACTGGGTGCCGGCTTGTGCTGTGCGCCCTGGGGAGGAGAAACGTCGAGCCTGACCCCCAGGAGCTCCTGTTCTCCCCAGGGAGAGGACAGTAAACCGATGAGAATGACCCTAAGAGTCACTGTAAGATTTGGTGAGCGCTTAATATCTCTTAGGCGGGGGGCCAAGCGCTAGACAGCAGCATCTTTTTACTCTGAGTGACCCATGAGGTTGCCTCCTCGGAGGCCCCTCCTCCAGTCACTGTGACGTCACCCTGTTTTGTCTCCAGAGCCCTTGTCTTGGGCGGAGAACTTGCAGTTCATGTCCCCCCACCAGAAAACAAGCTCCTGAGGGCCGGGACTTGCTTACTTCCCGGCTGAACCCCCATGTCCGTATCAGCATGGGGCGCGTGGTAGTAAGAGCTTGTGGAATGAATGAAGGCTCAGGCCGGCTCTTTTACTGTGTCAGCATGTAAATAACAGGGGCGGGGCAGGCTTCTACCGCAGGTCTAGCTGACTACAAAGTACACAATTGCTCGTATAAATTCCATACAGTGTCACCAAATGGGAGCTGCTCTGGAAGGACCCAGGAAGTGCCTGAGGGGGAGCTGGGCGGGGCGGGGCGGGGTGGGGGGAGCTAAGAGCTCTTCTAGAATGTCTTTTGGAGGCTCCACCCTGCCCTGGTTTCCTGAGGATTTAAGCTCTGGATTCCTCAGCTGCTAGGAAAAGCTGGTCACCCACGTCTGTTTCCTGAGTGTTCCTGCCCAGGGTGGCCACTGTCCCCACCCAGGCCCTTGCTCCCTCCCTGCTTCCTCCTACACCTCCTCCCGGGAGAGAAAGTTGGCTGTGATGACAGGGACAGGTTGCAGCCCAAGTCCTGGTGGATTCTGGAGAAACCGGCTGGGTTCGTGTCATTCATTAACTTAGGCAGTTGGATTTTCAACCCGGGAACTTAAGGCAGCTTGCCGTGGGGAGGACTGGAGCTCAGATTGCAGGGAACGCCCTCCAAAGCCCTCTGCTTGTGTCTGAGACCTCCAGGCTGGCTGGGATGGCCCACAAGGCTGGCGTCTGGAGACTCCTTAGTGGCCAGCACAAGATGGGTAATGGACAGACAGACTGCCTGAGATCATTCATTCATTCACTGACCACAAATGGACTGAGCACCAACCTGGCCCAGGCACTGTCCTCGGGGAAACAGCAGCAAACATGACAGAGTCTCCTGGGAGGTGAGGGTGGGGGTCAGGGAAGGCCTGTTCAAGAAAGTGACATTTGAGGGCCAGCCCGGTGGTGTAGTGGTTAAGTTCGTGCCCTCCACTTCACAGGTTCGTGCCCAGGGTTCACCGGTTTAGATTCTGGGTGTGGACCTACACACCACTCATCAAGCCGTGCTGTGGTGGCGTCCCACATACAAAATGGAGAAAGATTGGCATGGATGTTAGCTCAGGGCCAATCTTCCTCACCAGAAAAAAAAAAGAAAGAAAGTGACATCTGAGCCAAGATCTAAAAGAGATGGGGGAGCCAGTTGTGCAAATATTACCTGGGGGCAAATTGTTCCAAGCCAAGGGAACCGCAAGTGCAAAGGTCCTGAGGCAGGAACATGCTTGCCATGTCCAGGAAGAGCAAGGAGGTCAGTGAGACAGGAACTAGGTGAGAGAGGGGGAGGTGGGAGGAGGTGAGGTCAGAGGGCAAGAGAGAAGGGGCAGAGGGGGCAGGGCCTTGGAAGGGATTAGAGAATCGTTGATTTTTACTTAAAATGAGCTGAGAAGTCTCTTCCCTCTAGAGTTCTGAATAAAAGAATTACACGACCTGATTTATATTTCAAAAAACAATTTTACTTTTAATATGTAGGACATTCACATGCTTTGAACATTAAAATTATATGTATATTATTTCATGTAATATAATGGAATCATACAATATATGGCCTTTTTTTGTCTGGCTTCTTTCACTTAGCATAATGTTTTCAAGGTTCATGCATGTCATAGGACTTCCTTTTTATGGCCAAATACCATTCCATTGTCTGGGTAGACGGCACTTTGTTTGTACATTCAATTGATGGACATTTGAATTGTTTCCACTTTTTGGCTGTTGTAAATAATGCTGCTATGAACGGTGAGGTACGAGTTTTTTGTGTGGACATACGTTTTTATTTCTCTTGGGTCTCCGTCTAGGAGTGGGATTGCTAGGTCAAGTGGTAACTCCGGGTTTAGCTTTCTGAGGAGCTGCCAGACTCTTCCCCGTGGCTGCTGTACCATTTTACGTCCCCACCAGCAACCTAAGTGTTTCGGTTGCTCCATATCCTCGCCAACATTTGTTATTTTCCGTGTTTTTGGTTATCACCATCCTAATGGATGTGAACTGGCATCTCATTGCGGGTTTGATTTATGTTTCTCTAATGATTAATGACCGTCGAGCATCTTTTCATGTGCCTATCGGTCATTTCTACATACTTTTGGAGAACTGTCTCTTCAAATCCTTTGCCCATTTAAAAATTGGGTTATTTCTCTTTTTATTGTTGAATTGTAAGAATTTTTTGCATATTCTGGACGCTAGACTGACTATTTTGGTTGTCTTCACTTGCTAGTGTCTTTTGATGTACAAAAAAGTTTTCACTTTTGATAAAGTCCAACTTATCTGTTTTGTTCTTTGTGCCTTAGGCATCATATTTCCCTGTTCTTTTTTACAACTTCATCGTATTCCTGGCTGGACCATAAATTATTTAACTAGTTGCTTATTGATAGACACTTAGGTTGTTTCCTGTCTTTGGATGTTATAAATCTTTTACATAATGTCATTTTTGCATGTGAAGGTAGGTCAATAGGACACACTCTTGAAGTAGGATTGCTGTGACAAATGTTAAATGCTTGTCATTTGGTTGATATAGACAAACCTGTTGGTAGGTATGTGGGTAGATAATGCCATTGGAATCATATACGAATTTATACTCCCACCGGCTGTGTTCTAGAATACCTGTTTCCCGCAGCCTTGCCAACAGAGTGTGGCTATTAAAGTAAGTAAAATTAAAAATTCAGTCCTTCAGTTATTCTCAAGTGCTGAATAGTCACATGTGGCCGCTGGCTAATGAATTGGACGGTGCATATGTGGAACATTTCCACCATCACAGAATGTTCTACTGGGCAGTGTGGTAAAGAATGTACAGTGACCTTCACTTTACATTTTAATAGGACCCCTCTGGCTGCAGGTGGGCGATGGCCTCAGGGACTGTGCAGAGGCAGGAGACCAGGGAGGCGGTGACTGCGATAGTTCCGGTCGGAGAGGATGGAGGGCAGACCAGGGTGACCACGGAGGTGGGAGAAGTAATTGGCTCTGGATGCATTTTGAAGGTGGCCAAGATTTGCTGGTCGGTGGGGTGGGGGGTGATGGAAAGACAAGTCGAGGATGACCCCCGGGTTTCTGGCCTGAGCCACGGGAAGGATGGAGCTGCACTGACTCAGCTGGGGAGGGACAGGGCAGGAGCAGGTGTGGGGGCGGGGAGACCAGGCGTCCTGTCTTGGGCGTACAGCGTGTGAGATGCAGGTTGGACATCCCAAGTAGAGATGTCAAGTGGGTGTCAAGTCATTTTTCTGGCCTAGAGAATGACATGTGATTTTGGTCACCAAGTTAGAGCAAAGCCAGTAAGGAGAGAACAGGCAGAATCACACACCTAAGATGGAGGCTGACAGATAGAAATGGCATGTAAGAAGACAGAGTAGAGTATATGAGGAAGCCATTTGGTGTAAACCTAATTCGGCCTGACCTTGTTTTTCCAAAAGGGCCTGATTGTGGCTGTTGAGCACGCATTGTACATCCGCTTTAAGCATTTCCTATGGCAAGAACAAAAGGCCTTAAGATAAAGGTGCAACTCCTCCCACATTGGCATTTCCTTGAGGATAAGCATCTCTCCTAGGCTAGGAACTGATTGCTGTGCTCACTTGTGACCACCCAGCTCACCTGTGACCACCCAGCTGGAGACAACAGACCTGCTCCCTGCTGTGTCCATCCATTGCTGTGCCGACAGAGCGGTCTCGTGACTATTGTAAAAGGGACTTTTCAATCATATGTGAAACATGGTCTTTGAGGGTATCTAACCACTCCGTACACCCCACTTCTTTGGTTCCCTTCCTTCCTTGGGGAGGGAAGGCCCCGGGCTGTATGGTCCTCACATTTTGGCTCAGAATAAACTCACCCCAATTTTCATTTATAGAGTGGTCATGGGTTATTTGCATCGACAGGGTGAAGGTCGAGAGCAGTGATGGGCAGTGGGAGGGGCTCAGCCTTTGAGGTTGGGGTCTCACACTGTGTTTCTTTTTATTTTTATTTTTTTAAAGATTTTATTTTTTTCCTTTTTCTCCCCAAAGCCCCCCGGTACACAGTTGTATATTCTTTGTTGTGGGTCCTTCTAGTTGTGGCATGTGGGATGCTGCCTCAGCGTGGTTTGATGAGCAGTGCCATGTTTGTGCCCAGGATTCGAACCAAAGAAAAACCAACGAAACACTGGGCTGCCTGCAGCGGAGCGCTCGAACTTAACCACTCAGCCACGGGGCCAGCCCCTCACACTGTGTTTCTGAGCCATAAGGGTCCATTTTCCTTCCATGAAATGGAAGAAATACTCTTCATAGGTTTGTTTTAAAGCTCACAGTGAGCACAGTGAGAGGTGGGCTACCTGGTAGGCTGGAGATGCTGCAGAAATGTTTGTCAGCTTCCCCGTCTGTTCCACTTGACTAAGAAGGGTAGGGGGATGAGGTCTGCACCCTCACCTGACATTCAAAACCCTGCTAATCTGGGCCCTGCTGACTCTCCAGCCTTGTCTCCTGACATCTCCCATTGTCAACCCACTGCAGGGCCTTTGCACTCACTGTACCTGCTTCCCGGTGCATGTGCTCTCCAGAGATCATGCATTTTGACGGTGGCCAGGATTTGCTGGTCGATGGGATGAGGGGGTGAGGGAAAGAGAAGCCCCTTCTCCTTCAGGTCTCTGTTCTCTAGCTCCTCCTGGCTCTGAGACTCAGGCTACAGAGCTGCCGGAGATGGACACTCCCAAGGTGTCACAGTGTTGGGAGACAGATCCCCCCATGACTTGCCTCAAATCGTGTTGATCTGGATTGCCCCATTCATTTGCTCACCAGATCTTTACTGAGACCTGCTGTGGGCGGGCTGCTGGGTAAAATGCTGGCAGTACAGCAGTGAGCAAGACAGATGAGGTCCCCGCCCTCACAGTTGCAAGAGGGACAGATAATAAACAGATAAAGATAATTAATGTCAGGGAGGGACCAATGACGTGGAGAAATGAAGCAGGGTGCAGAGCTGGGTGGAGAATGACAGGGAGTGCTTCACTAGATGGGGAAAACGGAGGGAGTGATGGCAGAGGGGATGAGAGCAGACATGCATGGTCAACAATAATGACCAGCATTTATTGAGCACTTTCTGCGTGCCAGGTCATGTTACAACCTCACTGAATCTTCACATTCATCCCCCAATGGTTGCTGAAAACAGCACTGACTTATTACTTCTCACAATCTGTGGACTGGCTGGTGGCGCCTCTGCTGGTTTCCCCTGGGCTCATTCATGCAGCTTTGCTGGAAGGTCCAAGGTGGCCTCATTCATACGTCCAGCAGCGGGTGCTGGTTGTTGGCTGGGGCATCGTGGTTCTGTGGGTGGCCTCTCAACCTCCACAAGCTAGACTGGCCTTGTTACGTGGCATTCTCAGGGCAGCATCCAAGAGTTGTAGGCTCGGAAGTCTCATAAAGTCACTTCCTCTCATTTTTTGATCAAAGCAAGTCAAAGACCAGCCTGGAGCCTCCTCATTCCTCATTGGCTCCTTGCAGCACATGCCCGTTCTTGGACCAATCATTAGCAGGGGGATAAGATTACCCCTAGACCCATCAGTGCTCTCAGGGACCCGGGGATGGGGTGTCTTCCCCCAGGCACCTGGGCTGATTGGGGGGGTGGGGGAGTTGCCATTGCTAACCACTGTTAATGTTGGGTGGAATTCCTTTCCAGGCATTTTACAGACCCCAAAAAATGTGAAGGGTCTTCCCACCCGCCAGGCTTACACTGAGAACACTTTCTGGGATGTTCTTGGGACTGTGACCTGAATGGGGACCATGGATCCTGGGCAAAATCATGCAATGACTTTCCTCTTCCTAGGAGCAGGTGGGAATAACAGATTAAGACCATGGTTTGTTGTGTTTTTTTTGCTGAGCAAATTCGCCCTGAGCTAGCATCTGTGCCAACCTTCCTCTATTTTGTAAGTGGGTCACCACCACAGCATGGCCACTGACGAGTGGTGTAGGTCCACCCCTGGGAAGTGAACCTGGGCTCCCAAAGCAGAGCACACCACACCTAACCACGAGGCCACTGGGGCTGGCCCCAAGACCATGTTTTAAAAACTAGGATGAAACATAGGTGATTCAAAAAAAAATCCCTTTTTAAATAATTTCAAATTTACAAAAAAGTTGCAAGAATAGCACAGTAAACTTCCATCTCTCCTTTACTCAGATCCCCCAATTGTCAACATTTTGCTACCCTTGATTTATCCTTCTTTCTATGTGTAATTTTTCTGAACCATTTGAGAGTCAGTTATACACACAATGTCCTTTTACTCCTAAATAAAATACTTTAATGTGCATCTTCTGAGAACAAGAACATTCTCTTACATGACCACTGTGTAGTTTTCAAAACCAGGAAATTCAACATTGATACAATGTTATAATTTTTATTGTCTATATCCAAATCTTGCTAATTGTCCCAATAATGACCCAAAATCTTTATGCTTTTTTTTTTTTGAGGAAGATTTAGCCCTGAGCTAACATCTGCTGCCAATCCTCCTCTTTTTGCTGAGCAAGACTGGCCCTGAGCTAACATCTGTGCCCATCTTCCTCTACATTATACGTGAGACACCTACCGCAGCATGGCTTGATAAGTGGTGCGTAGGCCCGTGCCCTGGATCTGAACTGGTGAACCCTGGGCCACAGAAGCAGAGTGCATGAACTTAACTGCTGTGTCACCGGGCCAGCCCCTAACATCTTTATTATTAAACTGATGACTACCAAGGTCATTGTACCCATTCCAAAGACATAAAACATACACCTTCCCAAAGAGAAGAAAATCAGTAACATCCACAAATCTGCTGAAAGAATTTGTATTTAGGGGCTGCCGCCGTGGCCGAGTGGTTAAGTTCACATGCTCTGCTGCAGGCGGCCCAGTGTTTCGTTGGTTCGAATCCTGGGCGCGGACATGGCACTGCTCATCAAACCACGCTGAAGCAGCGTCCCACATGCCACAACTAGAAGGACCCACAGTGAAGAATATACAACTATGTACTGGGGGGCTTTGGGGAGAAAAAGGAAAAAAATAAAATCTTAAAAAAAAAAAAAGGAATTTGTATTTAGAAGTCCCGATTGTAGGCGCTGTACAGCTAAAGCACTGGTTCTTAACTGAGGATATTTTGGGCCCCCGGGGGACATTTGGCAATGTCTGGAGACACTTGTGGCTGTCACACCACGGGTGACATGCTCCTGGCTGCTGAACATCCTGCCGTACACACGACAGCCCCACAAACACAGGGTTCTCCAGCCCCACATGACAATCGAGCTGAGGGTGAGAAACTAATCGGTCAGGAAACTGGGGAGAGACGCTTTCCTCTGTTGCACTTGGAGCACCCCACGGATCTAAATTCACCCCCGCAATTCTGCTGCTCTCAGGCTGCCCTGGGAAGCCCCACTCCTACAGGCACAGGGAGGCCCAGCCAAGTCTGTTTACAGGGCTCCAAACTGGAACCAACCCATATGCCCCATTAGGAGAAGACTGATGGAATAAAACTGTGCTTGCAGCTCTTCCCCCGACTCTGCCGCTCTTCTGTAAAATGGGGCTGGGGAGGGGGGATTGGAGGGGTGCTAGGAATCCTGGGCCCAGCTGCTACTTTACGATTTATGTGCATAAGTCCTTCTGACTCATGTGTGATTGATGCATTAGGATTCTGTGCTGACATGTCTCGGGCTTTTATTGACAAGTCTGGAGGCTGCCAGAATGTCTCTCCACTGGAATCGAAGGCGGGGCTGCTGCCGAGCCACCTTTGGCTCCTGAGGGCCCAGCTCAGGGTCTGGCTCATTTTAAAAGCAACTGCCATTTCTTTAGTGCCAGCTGTATACCAGGCTGAGTGCTGAGGCTGCTTTGTGACTCTCGCGCTCCCGCACGGGGATGAGCACATTTACTCTCTTGCTTCCGTTTTATAAAGGAGGAAACTGAGGCTCAGAGAGGGCATGATACGCAGCTGGGGAAGGCGGAATTGGGATTCAGACCTAAGATGAGTCAATTTCCAAAGTCCACGCTCTTTCCAGTCTACTGAATCTTCTCTGTGCGTCGTAGGCGCTCAGAAAATGCGTGAGTGGCAGAGAACAGACAATATATGCATTGGTAACAGTACCCCTAGTTTTAGCAGAGAACATGGCTGCCCAGCCCTGTCAGTTAAGGACTGACCACTGTTTCCAGCCTCCCTTGCAGCAGTGTAGGACATCTGACTAACTCTGGCCAAAAGAATGAGAGGGAAAGTGGCACAAAGCATTCTGGTTTGTGTCCCTAAATGGGTTGAATTCTACTTCCTTTTCTATACTTCCCACTGGCAGGAATGTAGACGTGATGGCAGTGCCAGAGCAGTTACCTTGGACCATGAGGTGGAAACTGCCGGTTGAAGATGGAAGAGCAGCTGTAAGATAGCAAGAATCTGAGTCCCTGATACCACGAAGCTGATGTGGGCTCGGCGAGCTGAGGAGTCAGAAGAAAGATTTCTTGGAGTCTTCAGGTCTGGTAGTAGTGCTCTTTTATTCAGAGAATAGCATGGCGACAGGACCCATGGGCAGTGAAGAGCTGTAATGGATTGAGGGCAGGGCTAAATTTATAAGGTGTAGGTGTATGAGTTATCTCTTTACAAGACAAAGGAAAGATCATGTAAAAAAGTCATTAAAATGGTATCAGTGCAGGTGGGGTCTGGTTATTGGGTGGTCCTATAACTTTGGATATGAGTCAGGTCGAATCAGTTCAGGATGTCCTATGCTTCCTGGAGGGTGATATAGATTGACATGTAGGCCGGGACGCCTTGGGCTTCTCTCCCTGGGGCAGCCTTGATCCTCATCATGAAATCCTCCCTGAACCCATTTGGCCTGGAAATCCTTTGGCGATATGGACAATGGTCAGTCTTCTGTAACTACTCCCGGCCGTACAAGGTTGTAGAGCTGTCCCTAAATGGGGACCATAGGGGTACAGGCAGGACGTTCAGTGGACTGGAAGGTTGCATCCATGGAGTCCAAGGCTGACAAGGTGTACAGATCCCCTGGAGATGAGAGAATCATTTGATGAGAGGTGGTCCAGGAGGTGAAACTTTGTTGACATGTGGAAGACAATGAAACAGACAACAAATTATAATAGGAAATACAAGCAATGTGACTAACCCAATGAATGAGGCTTTGATAGTAGTCCAGAGACCTGGACCTGACCAGGAGTCCAACCAAGCATTTAGGGACAGGGTGGGGTCAGACATGGATTTAATTTGGTGGCTCATATCAGATAGGAAGCCAGAGATATTTTGATGGTAGTCAGGAATATAGACACAATGTTCAGTTTTTGTAATGGCACAAGTGCCCCCCCGTGCCACCGTCAAGACATCCAGTGCCGTTTGGTTTTGGAGGACCCACTTACGCATTTGGGATACTTCTAAATCGAGCAGTGAAAGGCTATGTTGTGTATCGTTTAATGCCTTCATGCTAAGTTGGCCTAGGGCTTCCATGTGCCAGATGACACTTTCAATTCCTAATTGGGGAAGGAAAATTGAGGCAAGGTGATCACATCAGTGGAAGACAGAATGGGTCCAGCGTTGTCACAGCTTGGGTAGGTTAGCAGGAGGAGATATAGTAAATGTAGTTCTGCCTTGCATCCAGACGAAGCCTAGGGTGCATTGTCCAAGCCATCTAGGCGGCAGCCAAGGCCATAAGTTGGAGCCATATGGCCACTGAGTGCCATTAGGGGCTAACCAATGTATGCTGGGCCGTCTATCCCAGTCAGTCCCAAACCAATCAGTATTTCTTAAGGCTATGATATGAGAACACACATAATGGGGAATTTTCCCCATAGGTCGCGTGCTATTAGGCCATGTATCACAGGTGTGATTGGTTTGTTCCCAACATAGTGGCCTTTGACTGAGTTGACCACTAGTAGGAGTGAGCCAAATATATTCATCCCAAATTTGATATAGTCCATCCTGTGTGTATTGATAGGTTGGGGACTTTACCTTAGGAAACTCATTGTTTACGATCCACCTGTGACAAGGCAAATCTAGTTAGAATTTGGGCAGTAGAGTTGAAGGAAAAGGTTTGATTGTGGCCAGGGAACTCCCAGGTATCAGAGACGGATGGCCACAAGGAGACATTATGATTAGTAACAGATGAATCTTGTAGAAGAGAAGAGCTGGAATCTAATATCCATGAATGTGTACTATAGCTTCTACTGAAACAATTTTTCTCTCTAAAATCACCCTCATTTTTACAAAAGATAGCCAAATTAAGATTAACTGGTTTGCAAAATAAGTTTAGTTTCAATAAAACTTGGTCCAATTATTTACAGAAGTGCAGCAAGAATTGGTCATATAGGCTCTTTTAAATCTGCTTTGCTGGATTTTTTTATGAGGAATCTCAGATTGAACTTTAAAGGCCTCTTGAGGCCAGGAAAGCCAAGCCAAGGACTTGCCATCAGATTTTTCCTGAAGTACCTACAGATTTGGGTGGACTCCTCTCTTCGAGGTCCCCCAAAATATTTGGGGTTCCAGGCACCTGCCAGATAAGTCACCTTCCTTGCTTGCCAAGTAATATTGTTGGAATCCCTGTAAACAAGGTACCAGGCCAATATTTCCAGGTGGCTTTATTCCAGAAAGTCACCCTTTTCCCCTCAAAAGCTGTTTTGTCATATCTGAGCCTATATGTTTCTCTCAAATATGACATTCCATTCAAGGCCTTGGTTATATAACCAATGTTTCCAAATGTGTCCTGTTATAAGGAGAACAGATTCTTATTGAACTTATGCAAGTAACTATATTGCCATGAAATAACCATACTCACTCACTACGTTTCCAAAATCTGGAGGGATCTGATAGGGAGAAAAAGATAAATGTTTCAGTTATGCTCACAAAGGTATAATTTCACCAAATTGTTACAAGTCATAGTTAGCATAAGAGAAAAGAGAAAAATATTTCCTTAAATCTGAGAAAATGAAACAAAACATCAAAAAATCAACAATATTTCAAAAAAATTCATAAAAAATTATAATCATCCTCATCAGTTCATTCAGTCTTATATAATCGATTCTTGATCTTAATCTTCTGTTAGCAGATTTATGAGCTTTGTTTCTCTATTAGAATTCTGTAATTTCTTACCCAGTTCAGTTTTATGATCTGAAAGTTTATCAGAAAAGTGTTTTCTGGAATCCTGTGTCAGAATCCTTTCCATGAATTTCTCTGAAGATGAAACATATTTGCAAAGGCAAAAAGTATCAGAGTAAAACAGCAATAAACAGCAACCATCTGCAAATGATGAAAGACTCAGAAGGGCAATTGACAAAGAAACTTGGCTACTTCTGTGACGTACAACACTTCAAGATAATAACTGGAATTATAGCTGACAACCAGGACAGATCGGAATTTTAGGAATGTTATATAATTTTAAAACATTTATATTCATAACATTTATCCACATAATACCACCTAAGAAAGTTTATCATCACTTATTTGACATTGCTTCCCATGTAATTTAACATACCAAATAAGCCTAATAAGATTAGTATCTTCCTTCTTATAGGAAGAGAGAGCAAATTTGTTTGAGAAGTCTCAGGGGCCCTCTGAAAATCCTCGGAGAAATTCTCTTCCTTCTTCTGGGTCAAAAGAAAGCTTTCATTCAGGGTTTGAATATTTTTTTGAGGGAGAAGCTTATCAAAAATATCAAAAGGTTTTAAAACACTTGTTCAAATAGGAAACAACACTCACTATGAAACAATGCTTGGGTATCTATTCAAAATGACAGCAGAAACAGTAAAAAAATCTTAATAGAGAGACCTCAGTCCTTCTGAACACAGGGAATTATTCTAACAAAACCTAGATTTTCTGTCTTGTAGGTAGACTTACTCAAAGAAACACCTTTTATTCCTCTTTATCAAGAGCAGACCAAAAGTTCAAGAAAATTATCCTTTTGAGAGAGAAAACCAAATTCTAATTCTTGTGCCAGCTTACTTTTGATATTAAAACTCATTTACTTAATTGGATTTACTTTAATCTTAGCCAACTTGACCAGACGTAAAACTCTCTCAGATCCTGTCTTTCACAAACCTTCTACAACTTTCCTTTTACATTCAGAATTTGTCCCATGCTTACTTTCTTCCCTTCTAGTACTTTAGGACAAATTTATCTTTCTTAACCCAACAAACGAAAATACCTCCATTCTTTATACCTTCTTTACTGAAAACATATTTTACTGTCCTTGTATATAGAGCTGTTTTCGTTATTAATTTTTAGTAGCTTTAATTACATATATTAATTAGAATTTTTAACCTTTACAGACCCTAGCAAAAAACTAAAAACTAAGCAACTATGACATGTCTTTTATATCAGCATTCTAACACTTTTCATAATTTCTAGAAACATGCTACTTCTTAGTAATAAAACACAAAGTCTGTTTGCTAATGGACCCAAACATCCTTTAGCCTCTCTGCAATAAGATGCCAAAAGTAGCAATAATGTTTCAGTGTTCTATCCTATCCAAAAATGACCCAGATACTCAACAGATTTTTATCATTTAACTTAACTTGGCAAAACTCTAAAGTTTGTTACCAAAAAGAATTTGGAAGCTGTTTGTTCCCAAGTATACAGACCATAAAACATAATTATTGTACCCAAAAACTCTTGCCCATCTTCATCTATCAAAATCACTTGTTTCCAACAATTATGTTCAGATTACCTATGAAAACTTCATGATATATTAGACAAAATTAGCTATCATTTAAAGCTATTATTTTGCTGATGAATTTGTAAGAGACAACATGAGCTTATTCGACTAGTACACCCAGGCTACATGTCCGCATCATGTCCAAATACTGATGACTCTGAGGACATGCCTATTTCAACCAAACCAACAAACTTAAATAATTTTTCAGTTACCAAAGATTAATTCACACCATGTTAACTTGAAAAACCCTGGGTTAATTTCTACTACATTTAGAATTGATGTAAGCACTTACTTTAAGCCAATTAGAGCTCTTAATTTTGGAAACCGGGGTAGGGGGAGCTCCCAGGGGTGGAGCCTTTGACTCTTTAAAGATTCCTTTGTTTCTCGGTTGCAAAGCTCAAAAGGAGCCCAAAATGGCCACTATAACTTTAAGAGAGATGAAAGAAAAGGGTCCATTACCTTGACAACCCCCTGAACCCAGGGCAGCATCCTACCCATCATTCCTCCTGTGGGGTTCCTATAGCAAGGGGTGATGGGGGCGTCCCCCAGCATTGCATCCCTTGTATACTTTCCCTATTATGCCTGGCAGTAATAGGTGCCTGGTGAATGGTCCCAGAGATAAAAGAAAAATAGAGAAAACCAGTGAGGAATTTTCCGCTGGTCTGGGGGACATTTTACCCAATTACATCCTGGAGCCGTTCTCTCAAGAAGGGGTTCCCATACTGAACCAAAGTTTAAAGTTTGGTACTTTCCTTGAACTGGAGTCCTGGTTGGGACTTTCCCGCAGTTCAGAGTGTGGTCAGGAACCATAGGGAGGGATCCCCATCCAGTCTTAGGAAAAGAAACCTGCCACGGGAGTCTTGGAGATTGGCGACCGTCCTAATGACTTAAGTGGTCACCCCTGCCCATGTAAAATTTATATTTTAGAATAGGATTAGGAAGGAATGGATTAATTCATTCTTTATCACCCTCAGGCTTAAGGTATTGATTCTTTTCAGGCTGAATGCCAAGATTTGCCCCATAGAGTAGCCATGGGCAGCAAACGTGGATTGATACAGCTGTCTGAGAAGGTTTCCGATGGAGAAGTGAATTTAGATCCATCCTCTAAAAGAGAAAGGCACAAAGCAAAAACGGTACTTACCAGAACTTGAACTCACAAGCCGGCGAAGCAAGATCCCTGTACGGGCCACCAGAAATGATGCGGGGTCAGTGAGCCAAGGAGTCGAAAGAAAGATTTCTTGGACTCTCAGGGTGTGGCAGTAGTGCTCCTGTATTCAGAGAATAGCATGGGGACAGGACCCACGGGCAGTGAAGAGCTGCAGTGGGTTGAGGGCAGGGCTAAATTTAAGGCAGAGGTGTGTGAGTTATCTCTTTACAAGACAAAGGAAAGATCATGTAAAAATGTCATTAAAATGATATCAGTGCGGGTCGGGTCTGGTTTTCCTGTGGTCCTATAACTTTGGCTATGAATCAGGTCAGGACGTCCTATGCCTCCCAGAGGATGACAGATTGGTGTGTAGGGGAGGACGCCTTGGGCTTCTCTCCCTGGGGCAGCCTTGATCCACATCAAAGCCGCCATCCAGACCTGCACTGCTGTCATTCAGATTGATGTGAGAGGGGAAAACTAACTGTTTTCGTGTCTAGGAGACACTTGTTATTTGAGCCTTTCTTACAGCATGGAGCCTGCATCTCGCCAGTGCATCTCTTAAAAGAACGTATGGATGAGTGCATGACGGGGAGCCGTGAGATCCAGCCCTGCACCTGGAAAAAGGCACAAAGACCACACTCAAGCCTGGGTGGAAGCATCGTCCAAATGCAGTGGAAAAATTTATGGCCAGAGGAACTAGTTCCAAACCTGGCCCTTCTCCTCGCTTGCTGTGTGCCCCTGGATAACCCACGTGCCCTCTCTGGGCCTGACACTCCTTGGTTGCAAACCAGGCTTAGCAAATTCATGGACTCTGTGCAATTTAAAGATTTTCATTGCTCTTTGCAATTCTATTTCTAGAAATCCATTCCCAGAGAAATTCTCACCTCACACCCCATGAACACAGGTACAAGGATGTAGCTTGGTTTGTGGAGTAAAACCCTGGAAATATCCTCAAAGGTGATTAATTAAACTGCGGCACATTCATGTTCTAGAGTGCTAGAGAGCTGACTGTGGCCGCGAGGAATTCTCTGGTGACACTTGCTGGCACAGAATGACACTGCAGCCCAGCTCAGCAAGGCACTGGGAATTTCCAGAACCAGAGAGGCTCAGGGTAGCTGTGAGGATGGTCTGGGAAGCCATAGACCAGGGGGAGGTTTGGGAGGACGGCTGAGGCAAGGTGACTGGCCAGGGTGTGAAGTCGAGAGCAGAGACCCGGGTGTGAACTCCAGCTTCACCACTTCCTAGCTGGCGGAGCTTGGGCAGATTAGGGACTTTCTCTGACCCTCAGTCTCTTCTTCTAGAGAATGAGATGTCTGATGAGGATTCAAAGAGAGAATTCATTCATTCATCATCTATTGAACCAACACTGAGCCCCTCTGATGTCAGTGGTTGATGAGAGTCTCCAGGCACTGAGGGTGCACCAGGACCTGGTCCTGCCCTCATGGGGCTCTCAGTCTAGTGGGGGAGACAATCAACAAGTAAACAGGCAGACAAGGTAATTTCAGGTACTGATGACACCGTAAAGGAAAATAAAGCAGGGGATGGGTCTGGGGGTGGAGGCACATTACAGACACGGGCTCGGGGAGGGCGTCTCGGAGAGGGTGTGAGCAGAGGCCTGAAGGAGCCACATCTTGGAGCACAACATATAAGACGCCAGTGGACGAACCTGGCACATAGCAAATCTCAATAAACGCTGGGTCATTGTCTCATCACGCGGGAAAGGAATTAAAGGGAGACTGGAATCCGTCTCCTGGGGTCTGAGGCAGGCACGAGAGTGAGAAGATTCCCGGGGCCTGGAGGGGGAGAAGCAGCCCCTGGACCGAGCGGCCCCAGCTCTGGAGGCCTTGCGCAAACAAGTGTCTAAGCCTCCATTTCGTCCTTCGGAAAACAAGGCCAATAATGCCCACCCTGTGATATTGGGGGTTGTTACGGGCTGAACTGTGTCCCCCCAAATCCATGTATTGAAGTCCTAGCCCCCAGGACCTCCAATGGGACTGTGTTTGGAGAGCGGTTTTTGAAGAGGTGGTTAAGGTAAAATGAGGTCATGAGGGTGGGCCCGAATCCACTAGGACCGGTGTCCCTGTGAGAAGAGGAGATGAGGTCACGGGCACACACAGAGGGATGACCTTGTGAAGACACAGGGAGAGGACAACCATCCACAAGCCAAGGAGAGAGGCCTCAGAGGGAACCAATGCTGCTGACACTTTGATCTTAGACTTCCAGCCTCCAGAACCACAAGACGATAAACTTCCATGGTTTAAGCTGCCCGGTCTGCGGTCCTTTCTTATGGCAGCTGTGCAGGGGAGTACGGGTGACGTAGGACACAGGCACACAGGGCCCTCGAGAGAGGCTGCCCCGGAGCCCGACTCGTGAACCCTCAGCATCTCTGCAGACTCCAGGCCAGTCTCAAGATTGCCGCGGTTGCTCTGAAGCTGGGCCCAGTGTGCCTCTGGATTGCCTAGCCTTGGGGACCCAGCTCACTTAGTTTCTGCCCTGCCCTCTGGTTCATTACTCCATCAATCCACAAACTTCACGTGGTGCCCCTGCGGCCATTCTGTAAATTATGGCGTGGCGGGTGCATCAGCTGGGGTCCAGTCTGGAAAGCGGAGATCACTCTGGGCATTTCAAACAGAAGGAATGGCGTACAGGGAAGTGCTTATACAGACGATGGGAGAGCTGAGACGCCAAAAGGGCAGGATTAGGCACCCTGGAATGGGCCACAGCCGGAGGCCAGAGGCACAGAAGGAGGCTGTGGTGTCACTGGATACAAAAAGCCAGGGCTAGAACCACATGGGGGCTGCCTGGTGGGAACTGGGACCAGGAAGGGAGGGCCTCTTGGGTAGGGGCTGTTCCTCTGTCCTCAGAGCCATTGCCCGCCCTTCCTCCATTCTTCACTGAATTACAGAGTGGCTGACCTCTGCCGGCTGCATTGCCCAGACTCCGGGTGGGCTGACTTCCCATTGGCCAATAGGTGGTCATGATGGGAGACAGGAGGCTGGAGGAAGGGAGAAGCAGAATATTTCTCCCTCTCTTCTGACATCTTGGGCTGCATCTCCATCAACCGTGGTGTCTCCCCCAGGGCTCCAGCCCTCGCAGGACAGTCCACAGTGCTTCCAGCTTCGCAGAGTGACCACAGGGCTACTGTAATGTTACCTCCTCCTGCCATCCCTCCAGCTTCAAGGTGGCAATGGCTTTCTGCTGAAATCTCTGAGCTGCTTCACCGTCTCTTGTTTGGCTTCTGGGCCCCTCCGTCATCTCGGTACCGCGTTCTCTGCTGGAAAGTCTGTCTGTGTAAACGCTCAGTGGTTTCCTTTCCCGATATGAGGAAAGGACCTGAGAGCTAACTGGCAAGCGGCCAGCCCAGAAGGCCTCTCTTGCCCCTTTGTCCTTCTTACAGATAAAAGCCGGGCAGCCTGCAGATGGCAGAGGCAGCTGGGTGTTAGGGATCAAAGGCTGGCCCTCGAGTCAGGCAGGTCTCCTTTTGTCCTAGCTCTGCCACTTGTCAGCTCTGTAAACTTCAGCAAGTCGCTTCCCCTCCCAGAGGCCTCAATTCTCTCACCTGTCTTGTGGGGATAAGGATCGTGCCTTCGACTCAGGGTTGCTCTGAGGATTTGATGAGATGTGGCATGGAAAGAACTTAGCCACAGCCTTAAAAAAGAATAGGAAAGAGGAGACTTGCCCTACAGCGGTCGAAAGGCATGCCCCATCATAATAAAGTCAGCGGGGCGCTGGCACAGGCAGAAACAGGTCAGGAGCAGAGCAGTGGCCCGAAGCAGGCCCCGGACATGTGAGAACTAAACCAGTCAGGCAGCCCCACAGCCCACCTCGGAAAGGACAGCCGTTTGGGAGATGGTGTTGGGGAACCTGTCCCCATAAAACTAGACCTTTACCCCACACTGCAAACAAAGGCGGACTCTAGATGGAGCGAAGACTGGAAGTGGAGCGCAAAATTATGAAATTCGCAGATGTTATAGCCACATAATGGAATACTCTTCAGCCATAAAAAGGAATGAAATTGTGACACATGCTACGACATAGACGGACCTTGAAAACATTATGCGGAGTCCAATAAGCCAGACACAAAAGGACAAATATTGTATGATGCCATTCATACGAGGTACCTAGGATAGGCAAATTCACAGAGGTGGAAAGTAGAATGGTGGTTGCCAGAAGCCAGAGGGAGAGCGAATGAGGAGTCATGGTTTAATGGGAACCGAGTTCCTATTGGGAATGCTGAAAAAGTTTTGGGTACAGACAGTGGTGATGGCTACACAGCACTGTGGACGTAATTAATGCCGCTGAATTGGACACCTACAAATGGCTAAAGAAAATATTATATACATTTTACCACACCCACAAAAGGTTTACCCCCACCCCAAAATTAGTAGAAGAAAAGTCAGAAAGTATCTTTCTGCCTAGAGGTGAGAAAGAACTTAAATCAAATTTCAAAAGCACGACTGTAAAGCATGCCATTCAAAAACGGTCAGGGAATTTGAACGGGCATCTCTCCAAAGAAGATATACAAATGGCCAAAAGGCACACGAAAAGACGCTCAGCATCTTTAGTCATCAGGGACATGCAAATCAATACCACAGTGAGATACCACTTCATACCCACTAGGATGGCTATCATATATATATATAAAAACAAAACAGGAAATAAGTATTGGTGAGGATGTGGAGAAATTGGAAGGCTTGTGCACTGTGGTGGGCATGTAAAATGCTGCGGCTGGTGCGGAAAAGAGCATGGCAGCTCCTCAAAAAGTTAAACAGAGAATTACCATCTGATCCCCAATTCCACCTCTCGGTATATACCTAAGCGAGTTGAAAATGGACTCAAACAGCTACTTGTACACTCGTGTTCATAGCAGCATTGTTCGTAATAGCTAAAAGGCAGAAGCACCCCAAATATCCATTGACAGACGAGTGGACATACAAAATTCGTTACATGCATACAGTGGAACATTAGTTAGCCTTAAAAAGGAATGAAATTCTGACACATCCTACAAAATGGATGAATCTTGAAAACATTATGCTAAGAGAAATAAACCAGACACAAAAGGACCAATACTGTATGATTCCACTTCTATGAGGCACTTAGAAGAGTGAAAGTCACAGAGACAGAAAGTAGGTCACAGGTTTCCAGGGGGTGGGGGGGGGGCTCTGTTTAATGGGCACAGAGTCTCTCTTTGGGATGATGGAAAAGTTCTGGACATGGACGGTCGTGCTGGTTGCACATCGTGAATGTATTTAATGCCACTGAATCGTACCCTTAAAAATAACAAAAATGGTAAATTTTGTTATCTATATTTTACCACAATCAAAAAAGCACAAAAGTTAAAAGGCAAAAAACCATTACAACAGTTATTTTGATTACATCCAAATTAAGGAATTCTAGCCAAAGGATGCCATGGACGAAGCAAACAGATGTCAGAGTGTGAAGATATTCATTGCCTAAGATTGCAAAGCTTAGAATATGCAGGAAACTTGCAAATAAACACCAGAGAGGGCCAGCAGCCCAGTGGAAAAAGGACAAAGGATGAGAAGAGCAATTTACAGAAGAGGAAAACCACAAGCCGTGAAGAAGGCTCAAACTCACCCGTCAGAGGAAATGCAAATGAAAACAGCCAGGAGACGTCACTCCACACCTAGCAGAGTGGTAACAATCAAAAAGTTGGGTAGCACGCAGATTATGGTTTCAGAATGGCATTCTGCACGGAAAGGAACCAGGCTGGGGTCCGAGAAGCTGAAATGGAGCCTGGAACATCTTATTGTGCCAGAAAATATGGAAACGATGAAAGAACACAGAAGCCACTGAAAGGAGCTTACGCTGGCCAAATCTGGGTCAATTTGAGCACCAAAATAAATAATGGTATGGATGGAGTTACAACCCATGGATAAAATAAAGTCCCTACAGATATAAATGAATAAATAAATGGGGGCATGGTGTCCACAAATCCTTCAACACTCTCCTCTTCTATGTTG